ATGGCAGAGTGGTTAGACGGAAGCCTCCCCTCAGTGCAAAACACATGAAAGCCCACTTGGAATTTGCAAAAAAGCACCTGAAGGACTCTCAGACTGTGAGGAACATAATTCTCTAGTCTGATGAAATCAAGATTGAACTGTTTGGCCTCAATTCTAAATGTTCTGTCTGGAGGAAACCAGGCACCGCTCATCATCCCAACAGTGAAGCATGGTGGCAGCAACATGCTGTGGGGGTGTTTTTGAGCATCAGGGACTGGGAGACTGGTCAGGATTGAGGGAAAGCTGAATGGAGCAAATACAGGGATATGTTCAATGAAAACCTCTTCTACCTCAATCAGGACCTCAGACTGGGTTGAAGGTTCACTTTCCAACATGACAAGGATCTTAAGCACACAGCCAAGACAACACAGGAGTGGCTTAGGGACAAATCTGAATGTCCTAAGAGTGGCCCAGCCAGAGCCCTGACTTGAACCCTATTGAACATCTCTGGAGGAAACTGAAAATAGCTGTCTACTGACAGTCGCCATCCAACCTGATTCAGCTTGAGAGGATTTGCAAGGAAGAATGGCAGAAAATCCCCCAATCCAGGTGTGCAAAGCTTGTTGCGTCATACTCAAAAAAAGACTCAACGCTGTAATTGCTGCCAAAGTGCTTCAACAATGTACTGAGTGAAGGGTCTGCCAGTGTTTTTTTCTTTTCAATAAATTTACAGACATTTCCAAAATTCTGTTTTCACTTTGTCAATATGGGGTATTGAGTGTAGATTAATGAGAAAAAAATGAATTTCAACACTGTGGAATCAAGCTAATGTAACAAAATTGACAAAAGTGAAGAGGGTCTGAATACTTTCTGAATGCATTGTATTAGAATCAGCTGACCTGATTTCTTTCCTTTGTATATTCAGCAGAATCGTAGAATTTTATGAGTATTTTATGGTAATCTAAGCTATCAAGAGGCAATCAGATTGCCTATTTTTGCCCTACTTCATAGGGCTTATTCATGAAGTACTGTATGTAGAAATAGGATTGTAAGCTAACAATGTAGAATGAATTTAAATGAAAGATTTCAGAAAAAAATGTTTAAGATTTCTGTTACTATCATCTTGAAGCAGAAAACTTGTATTCTCGTGCCATCATTTTATACAACCTGCAGGGTTTTGTTAGATTCTTCCTAATCTTTGTGCTAGTTAACCAAAGGTTAAATGGTAAAAGTAAAAATTTCCATAGTAACAGGGAAGTTTTGAATCAACTTACTGTAATTAGGGATAAGTTTGCAACTGTATGTTACACATCAATAGACTGTTACCTAAGGTTCATCAAATTACAGATCAAATTAATTGCATGCAACTATAAAATAGCATAGTTTTCTATGTCCTGTGAGTGTCTTCTTGAGTTTGGATGTCTTCAGATCCGCCCAATATTCATTCAGTTGTAACATCCATCTTTAATTGAACCAGAAGACATAGCCTCTTACTTCTCCCCTGGATTTGTGAGAAGCTGCAGAAGAACAGAAACATTGCATTAATGTACTTGTTTGAAAGCAATCTACAGTTCTGCGTGTACTAAAAAGTAAAATCTCCAAGGACCTAATTGTTTCAGTTAATTCTCTGTAAGACTATTTATTTTACTGCCCAATGTGATGTAGGGTGTTCTACAAGGGTTAGGAATGCACACATCCAAACCAGGAAGAATTGATCTCAATTTTAATCAAGAGATTCATTGTTAGTGTACTCTCTATTCCTATCATGTGCCTTTTCACTTCTATTAACTATTGTTAAAATGTACTTGATTCTTTTGTTTATTATGGATTTGTAGTAAGAATTTGGTTAAGGAACTTGGGTAGGCAAGGAACCTTTTCAGCTTTGATTGTAATTAATGTTGCAAATAGTGAAGTAGTGGGAAGGAGGAATGTTGTGGGAAGAGCATGCATAAAATCTAGTCTCTTCAGTATTTGCTCTTTTTTTTGGTATCCTTATAAATATTGTATGATGTGTGACTTATATATGAAACCCTGGAGCAAAGGAAATTCTGCCAGGTTTGGGACCTTAACCATCGTATAATTTCATCTGAAATCTCTTGTCTCTTTAGTTTGGTTCATTTGAGAGCTTTTAATTTTGTTAATTTCTTTTTGGAATGGAAAGATCAGAAGTGTCTTGTTGGAGCAAATGGCCCCAGCAGCTTGCTTGCGTTCTCTCTCAGTAGTGAGCTGTTTTTCTCACTTCTCATGAACGTCAGATTTATTCACATTGAAAGGAAATCGATCACAGGTAAAGAAAAATCTACGGGCAAATCCTCCCCCAAGGTACATAACACAACTTCTATTGACTTCATGGAGATGCAGTGCACATACTTCAATTTAGTACTTAAATAGAGCGAACAGCGATGTGAGAAAAGCAGTGTATAGCGATGCAGAAATAGAAGCAGAACTGGAATGCCAATACCTGTTCTGTATAAAAGTAGCATCATCCATTGAGTACATGTGGAAGACATGATGATGACATTCTCTCAAATGTGTTTTCAGGTCTGATTTTTTTGGTGCATAGACCAAGCATACCTGGGATAAAATGGCAGATTCATTAATATAACCACTGAAGGATACACGGATTTCTCTTGAGAAGTTTTGTTCTTGCATTTTTTAAAATCTGGACCAGAACCCATAATTCAGATATAAAATAGGCTTCTTTAGCTTGATGCTCAAATCATAACATGTAACTATGATAATTATTAAAATATTATTTCATTAACTATGTATAGTTTTATGACTTTGTTCAACATGATGAAATTGAAAAATCATAACATCTAATTTCTGGTTTGGCATGTATGGATATTGACATACAGAGCATATGGAAGGTAAATAATGCTCGGTCAGAAGGGATGCTGCATATTATAATATATAGTGCCAGGAAGATGTTGCTATCTCTTTATCAGAACACATCTAGAGTTACAAAGGTGTCAAATGTTTTAAAGCCAAAGACAATGGCAGGCAGTCTTTTGGTGGGCAAGAAAGATAGTTAATATTTTTGGGGTAGTACAAAGAGTGCTTTGTGGGAATATGCAAAGGAAAAGTGGAAGCATCATGCATGTGGGAAAAACCATGAATTTTGGTTGTGGTAGTTAGAAGCCAAAGTGTGCCACAATTGACTCTCCTGACAGCAGGGATGCCGATTGTAGCATGAGTATGACTAAGGCAGTTAAGCCAGTGCACACCTTTCATGTTTCCTTAAAAAGCATTATGTGAAAACTTGACCAAAATCATGATTGGCAATGGAGCTTTGGGCCATCTGGAGATAGCAATAAAAATGTTATTATCTCCATCTGGAGATAACAATGACATATGGAAAATTGTAATGTAATGGAAGAGATGTAACTCTGATAAGGAGTTTGAGTTAGTGGATGAAATGAAAGAAATGAAATGAAAGAAAAATGGATGTGTGTCTCTGAAACTTAACATATAAAACTGGATGAAGGGAAAAGATGTAATAGATCTGAATGAAGATGACCTCATCTGAATGGAGTTGTTGATGATGTATGCAGAAAAATAAAATATAGACCTAATTGTGAATGAAAGGGCTAAAAACCGAAGAATGGAATGGTGTCATCTAGGTAATTGTGGGTGTGTATGAAAGTAGGAACCCAGATTTGGTATAGTTATATCTTGTGCTCTAGGGAAAGTACAGGTAGTCCTTGACTTACGACCACAATTGAGCTCAACATTTTTATTGCTAAGATAGATATAAGTGAATTTTGCCCCATTTTATGACTTGTCTTGTCACAGTTCTTAAGTAAATTATTCTACTTGTTAAGTTAGTAACACAGTTAAGTGAATCTGACCTTCCCATGACTTTGCTTGTCAAAAGGTCACGAAAGGGGATCACACGACCCCGGGACATCATAAATATGGGTGAGTTGCCAAGCATCCAAATTTTGATCACGTGACCATGGGGATGCTGCAATGGTTGCAAGTGTGAAAAACGGTCATAAGTCACTTTTTTCAGTGCTGTTGTAACTTTGAATGGTCACTAAATGAACTGTTGTAAGTCGAGGACTTACTTGTATAGCAAAAGAATTGCAAGTTTAAAGAAATATAACTGCTAATAGAAATATAGGAGTACAATGTAGTCTGTGATGAGGAATGAATGTGCCTTGTGAACTATGGAAAAGGCTATCTAAGAACATGCTCCTTACTTTGTTTTATGGAAGTAAGAGTTGGCTATGTTAGGAGCAAAATAAAACCAGCCAAATGTAGCAAAAGCATGATGGTTATTGTAGATACTCTGCTTTAAGTTGCTTACCCCAGAGCCTAAAGTGCGATAGTCAGGAAAATGTAGATGAGATGTGAAATGGAAAGTGCCCTTCTCTGGCTCAGAGGTGCACAATCCATGGCTTCCTTTCGATGCTGCTTGCTTTTCTCCCCCCCTCCTCTCAATCCCCAATCAGCTGTGATAGGCTAATTGCCATGCAGTTGAGCTCTGCAACTTCCTTTCTGATCTAACCTTTTTTCATAGTGGGGCTGCCAGACTGTACCAATTGATATTATCATTCATTCAGTAAAAAATAAAATTAATATAGTCACAGTGATGTTACAAGTTCTAAGAATAGATTGTGTAGATTAGGAAAAAAGGCTTTATGGTAAGAGTGAATTGGGAAGGAAACACTAACTGAGTCTTATTTCAAATTCTTGAAAACCCTGAAAAGTCAAGGAACGTAATACCTTTGTGTTTAAGAATCATTCACGATAGTTAAAAGACTAAATAAACTCGTTCCACTACACTGCAGAGAAATGCTTGCAGCAGATGTAATTTCTCATTCTCAGCATCTAAATTTCCTTTCTTTAAAACAACAAAAAAGAAACTTTACAGAGGCCAGTTGTAACTTTTGGTGAGGGATTGGTAACGAGATATTTAAAAGAAATAATGACTTTAATGGGGGATATAAAATACTTTCATTAATTGCTTTTTGCTCACAGTTAAATGTATGCTTTGTCTTTCTTTTTTGTGATAGCGAGAACTTGATGCAACGGCGACAGTGTTGGCTAACCGACAAGATGAAAGTGAACAATCAAGAAAGAAACTTATTGAACAAAGCCGTGAATTCAAGAAAAACACTCCAGAAGTAAGTTGCAATACAACACAGATTTTGAGCTGTTTTTCTATAGCATGAAATTGACTATTTTAATCTGTTTAAATTAGCTGCAATGGCCTGTTCTTCCAGGTTATTTCTCAGACTTCTTCTGGCAAATGAAATCTCTCGTTTTCTCTCTCTCTTTTACTTTCTATATGAGAATTTTTAAAATATCTGGCTTTGTACCCTGGATGCGTTAGGATTTCCCAAAAAGATTGCATAGCATGATTTATTGTGCAGACTTTTTAAAAAGAACTGTCATTTCATCAAACTAATTAGGAGCACAATAAAATAGAATACACTGTAAATTTGGCAGTTTCATAATGTTAATGAACTACTTCAGATTACTGTAACTATTAAATATATGTATATGTAAGACAACTCTGGGCATGCTGAAATGAATATGTCAATAATTTTCAATGTCATAATTTTTCAATTAAGACTTCTAAAATGTAAAAGAGATTATGCTGCTGCATGGAAATATCTCAACATTTTGTGGAAGAATCCCAGAAACATTATGTTTTGAAAGAAGCATTTATACCATATTTAAATGTGCTGTGTAATTATTTTTTCTTAAATGCTAATTTAAGTGGTTTTGGCTATTGGAAAGCTGTCAGGATCTTTATTTAATACATTATATAAAGCTAAGAAGGCATACTTTTTAGTGTTCCTTATTTAAACATAGATCCATTTAACATACTAAATGAACCTCCCACACTGCGCTTCCTCATATATTGGTTTCCATCCATTCCATTTATTATAGATAATATCCTATTTAGTTTATGATGTCAGAAAAAATACCGTATTTTCCGGCGTATAAGACGACTTTCTAAACCCTGAAAATCTTCTCAAAAGTCAGGGGTCGTCTTATACGCCCAGTCGTCTTATATGCCGGAATATATATGGTAG